GTTTATAAAAATAAGTATAAAATTTGAAAAGGTTGGAAAACAATTTTCGGTTTGGGCCTGACATTTTTACATTTCAGTTTCATTTAGATTTTGAAAATGTCTTTTTGGTGCACCTCTAATGATAATGATGGAATGCAGTCACTTACACACATATTGGCTGGTCTCTGAGCTCCATTTTTTGTCTTTAGCCACCTGCTCTGGTATTCGGTAAAGGAACAAGTGAGCATTAATGTAGCAAACCTTGTGGTTATTAAAGGAAAGTGGTTGTTTGTCTCTCTAAAATGTGTCCGTGGTAGTTGCGGGCATTTCTTAGGACTGCATTAGCGCCAGAATTCTGGTGCACATGCAATATTGAATTCCCCTGACTGTCTTGTATCAGGATCAACAGTTGCGATTGCACAGGTTGTAATAATGTGATCATGATTTCCTTCAATTTGTCTCACCTGCCGGTGTCTGCAGCCACCTGTAGATATGAGGTCGGTGCAGTCTGGCCTGGTTATAGTTGTCCCATGTGGCCACCCCTCCTACGTCCTACAAAGCGGATCTTGGTGCCTGAGCGACCTGCCATTAAGACATTTCCAAGTGAGCTGGTTGGGGTTTCTCCCATAGCCAGAAATGTGCCGTTTTCAGTACTGGTGCACAGGGGAGGTGAACACTGATACTGTAAAGATTCTATGGCAAACATGCGATGTCGGATTTGATTATCACTGATAAAGACCCTAACCCAAGGATGGCCAAACTCTGGCCCTCCAGCTGTGGTGAAACTACAAATCCCATGAAGCATCTCTCTCCGGGAGTCATGTCTGTGGCTGTGAGAATCTTGCAATGCCTCATGGGATTCGTAGTTCCACCACAGCTGGAGTGCCGCAGTTTGGCCATCCCTGCGGCCTAACCCAATGATTGTACTATTATTGAGTTCTTTTCTGCTATACCTGTTAACTGTCTCTTGCTGTCTTCAAAGTCTCCAGAACAACATTGCCCCCTGGTGACTAGATAATGACACTTCTACAATACAAGGCAAAGCATTTCTGATCCACTAACCATCACACCTACACTATATATCCAAATGTGCCGTATGTGGACACGCCTCCAAATGATTGAGTTCAGTGACGTTACGCTAGTGCATACCAGGATATATTGGACAATAGTGCACTTATGACCTTGTGGTAACCGTTTGGGAAAGGCCGTTTTATGTTCCAGCATGATTTTGTACCCTTGTATACAAAGCCGGCTCCATAGAGACATGGTTTAATGAGTTTTGGTTTGGAGGAACTTGAGTGGCCTGCACAGTGCTCTGCCCTCAAAATCTCCAGCATTATTACCTGACTTCACAAATGCCCTTTTAGATTAGGGCTGCAACCAATTAATCGATTTAGGAGAATTGTTGTCAACTATTCTCATGAGAGAGAGAGAGATTTTGAATGCAACTAATCAATGAATCGGGCAACTAATCGATTATCAAAAAAATTGTTAGCTGCAGCCTGATTTTAGATACACGGACACAAATACACTCTTGCTTAAAGCCTTCCTAGAAGAGTGGAGGTTGTTTTGGCCATTAATGGGAGAGTCCATATTAAATAAAGTCCATGATTTTGGAAAGGGGAAATCCATCAAGGAGTGACGGTCAGATGTCCATAAACTTTCAGCCATTTATTGTAGCATTATTGTGCAGTATTTGTAGATTAGAAATTGCATTGTTTGCCCAAGGCCTAGATCCTAATCACATGGGACATATGCGTTTTAGCTTCAAGCTGTAAAGTGATTTGTTCTCAGGCCTGGGTGATCCTTCCGCTGGGTCAGTTGATTTTGCGTTGCTGTGGGTTATGGCGCCATGGCCTTATTCAAGACTCTCGTTCCTGTACGTCTTTTGCCTTTACTAACGGCCCTCTTCTTCCCTTCAGGTTGAAGCTCCATTCATACCAAAGTGCAGAGGGCCAGGCGACACCAGCAACTTCGACGACTACGAAGAGGAAGACATCCGCGTGTCCCTGACCGAAAAATGTGCAAAAGAGTTTGCTGACTTTTAGGATGTGCGTTTAGAATGACACGGCATCAGGGCTCACATTTTTGGGATCTTTGCACTCTGTTTTCAGATGGGGTGGAGCTGAGACCATCTTATGTCAAAACAGTTACCTAGTTCCTTCATTCCGCAAAGCTGACTGAAGTCTAGAGCGCCATCTTCCATGCGTGCGGTTTGCACCGACCCTAGTACCCCAGCACAACGACAAAAAAGCCTTGTTTGTGCTGTAACGCAGAATACTAGACCACTGATCTTGTGTTGTTTTTTTGTTTGTTTTTTTTTCTTTTTTTTTTATCTTCCCGTTTCTCCATCCCGGTTCTGTTTTGCGTCTTGTATGTTTCCCCGCCACCTTGTCCTCCTCACCGTTTTTAAGTAGTATTTTACCCAACTTACACTCCCTTTTTATTTCTGACGATGTGTAATGAGTGTTTGTGTGTGACTGCGGGAGATGTTGCACTTAGTAAGGACTACAATGGATAATGTTGTTGCCTCCATTTTGTGCCACTTTGTAATGAATATATATATATTATTTTTTATTTTTTTTCCTGTCCATCGTCATCTGAATTTACAGGTTATCGTTCATCACAGCATTCAGATATAACATGTTTTTCTTTGTGGAGCTAAACTTTTTGGGGCCAGGAATTTACAGACATGGTCCTCGCCGGCGAATGTGTACTCGTACAGAATGGCATGCGTTGCACGTGGCACCAATCAGCTTCTCCCTTTTCGTTTTCTATGGCACGATGTAGAGACTGATTGGTGAGTCGTCGAGGGCAACACGGGTTGTCCTCCTCGCAGACACGTTCGCTCATGCGGTCAGACCGTCAATGAGACTGACCAATGCTAGTTAGAAGCTTAAAGTGGATTGTGACATGCGATCAGCTCCACCTTCCCTTCCCTCGCTGTGTTTTTGTCTCTCGCCCACTCTTTTTGTTGGGCTGGCTCTGTTTGTTACATGACAAGATGATGCAGCGTCCAGGCACGCGTCACTGAGCAGAAATATGCGGCAGGTCTCGTCCTACGAAGTGTTTAAGTATTGACTCTGTTCACATGACGTAAAAGCGTGCGGTGGCTCATAGCAACCAATCAGAAATCATGTTTTATTTTCCCCTCCCGGACTACGCTGACAGAAATTGATCTCGTATCTTGTTGCGAGTTACCTCACGCATTGCTCTTTCGCACTGCTATTTAAGAAGGCCACATGCCACTTGTGTGAAAAGATGGGTTTTAATAATATTGCTATGACTGCTCTCTTAAATAAAAGCTGTGGTCAGTATTTTTTTTTTTTTTTTTTTAGAAAAAACAAACACAATTAATAAAATGTGACACTATCATGACTCAACTTCTCTTTTCAGAATTAAATTATTTTTTTTTATTTGAGGTTAGCAAGAAAGACTAATAAAGCTAATTCAGGCAAAAAAAAAACACACCAATAGTATACATTGTATTTCCCATTGACTCCCCACCCCCTTAGAAGTCGCTACTATGGTTTGTTCCGGTATACTATATTAGTAAACGGAGGATGAGGTGTCGGCTACGGTACCTGAATCATGTAAGTGAATGAAGATGATCATGAGGTGCCACCATTATGTCATTTTTGCGGGTTTCCGGAGTGAAATGCACGGCACTGTGAGCAGAAGGCCGCACCGGTAGCATTTGGACCGAACCCCAATTGTGATACGACGGAATGGCTCATCATTTGCGCCAACCTGTAGACTACGCACAGCTGTGGCGGCCATTTTGTGGGCTCAAGTCGCTTGACGCTTAAGTGCGCACCCCAAGATGGCGACCTTCACGTTTACCACAGGAAAGTCGGGAGCTCCAAATGAATTGTTTGTGAATATTTCAGTGGCGGTATCCTCAGCTGTGTGCACAAGGCAGGTCCATGTCCAGATAATGTTTTATCGCCAACTTGGAGATGTACAAGTCACCGCTCTGCGTAGGTCTTAGAGTTGGCGAGCATTTCTTTTTTTTTTATTTTTTATTTTGCACAGCGGTGTAATGAGGAGGCCGACAAGAACTTCAGTCTTTGTCCACACTTACATGTGTGCAAGAAAAGTTTAAGATACTTTGCTGTAGCAAATTTTATGTAACAAAAAAAATATATATATACGTCACAATAAATCTAAACAAATTCTTTGTATGAAAAAAAAAAATGTTAAAATCTTTTTGTATTTCATTTAGACTGAGGACATGCTGTTGTATGCTGGTTGTATGCGATCAATTATACAGTAACTTTGTTGTCGTTTATGAACTTTAAAAAAAAAGATTTTAATAAATGCTGGAGATCACACGATTTTACTGTTCAATGATGGAGGAGGGCGGGGAGGTCTGGTTTTCCCACGTAGGAAGGTTGTAAGTAGGGTACACATGGTATGGATTTCATCCAGTTACTGATGGACGAATGCCCTGCTGTCTGCACTGTACTGCGGCCGCTGTCAGAATGCCCGCGAAGGCCAGCTCCGTTTGGCTGAGAATTTTCCAGCCTGTTCTTCAATCAGCTGATGGAGAGAGGCTGGGCAAAAGAGTGCCGACAGCAGCACCCACGCGGCATCTCTCCATCAGGGGATTGAAGGAGCAGGTTGGAAAATTCTCAGCCGAACGGAGCTGGCCTTCGTGGGCATTCTGACAGCGGCCGCAGTACAGTGCAGACAGCAGGGCATTCGTCCACCAATGCTCATAAGCATTGATGGAGGAATCTGTTATACAGTATATACTCACACCGTGTATATAGATAGATAGATAGATAGATAGATAGATAGATAGATAGATAGATAGAAATAAAATTATATAAACATTTAGTGTATTTTGGTTTAAAGTACGCCTGTAATGTGGGAGGTACAGGAGACGCCATTGGAGGACGCCTCTTGTTGGTTTCAAGTGTATGCCAGGCCAAAACTTCATCCCTTTTGGTTTTGGATAGAGTTGGGAAGGGTTAGAAGAACCCCTGTTGGGGTTTAGCTTCTTTCAGGGCCATTGGTGAGATTCGGGCTCACTTCCTGTCTTGTTGACAGCGGTTTACCCAACAGGAAGTGAGGTTTACTCTTCAAAAGCAGTACAGATGGAAATTAAGCTTTTCTAGTAGAGCAGGGTAAAGCTAGAACCCCTGTGGGATTTTTATTTCTCAGTGACCCTGTTGCAGATTTTTGACAAAGTGAGGGAAAAATCTCTATCTCATCTGATAGCGGTAAAAACTTGACTAGGGTGCAAATCATTCGCCATTCTATTCCTCACTATTCTAAACTTATAAAGGTTTTGGCTTGATATGCACTTTAGGAACAGATCTGAAGCAAACGTGATGTTTTGAGTGTCAAAATTCTTTAAGGCTAATTTACTAATCCAGTTGAGAATCTTCATTCATTATTCCATCAGGTGCCGATCAAATAAATTGCTTTCTGCACGATTCAATAATTGAAGTCACTTTATTTTAACATTCTCAACGTGTTTAGTAAATGTGCCTCCTTATCTCTCTCTAAAGCTGGCCATACCCCTATAGATGATCTGCAGCCTTTCTGTGGTCAGATGGGAAAAAAATGCAACAGACTCCTCCATCTACACTAAACTGTGTGGATGGAGGAATCTCCCACTGGGCCAAGCTTCAGTATCTTGCTAGTCGGCCCCGCTGGCTCTCTGGATGCAGGCATTGTTCAGGTATTTTGAGAGCCTGTGGGGCCGACTAGCAAGATACTGAAGCTTGGCCCAGTGGGAGGTTCCTCCATCCACACAGTTTAGCGGAGATGGAGGAAATCTGTTGCACTTTTTTTCCCATCTGACCGTAGATAACCTATAGGTGTATGGCCAGCTTTACATCCTAGTCTGTGTCCAACCGTCTTTCAGCTTGGTTGCTTTTAACGCATTGAAGCCATCAAGAGGATAGCAATGGCGGCTTACGTCTGTCATGACAGGTGTACTTTAAAGTCTACTCTAGGCCTGTGTGACTTAATGATGTGTGCCCGCTGCTATAGGTTAGGTTGTGAGAAAGTTTGGTTTGACAGGGACATGGAAACATATAGAAAAGGAAAGGTGTTGGCTAAATTGGCATGAGCACTGGGACTTAACACCACCTATGTGGAATGTATTATAAAAATCCAGAAATGAGGGGAGGCAGCATTGGTTTGGTCTTCCTAACCCTCCTGCATTGCACAACGCTGCGGTCTACTACATGCCAGTCATAAACAGAAGATTCGCACTATTCCAATGGTGTTACATTTATGAACAGTCCTACTTTTTCATGCACTTCCATCGTCATCAGTAGACCCTATAACGGGTTCCCATTAGGTAGACTGTGATCTACCAGTAGCTGTCAAAGCTGATGCTGGGAGATCAGGAACGGTGTGAACGGCGGCCCCTTTATTGCATTTTGGTATATTTATTTAGCTGTGCACACATGATTACCTATTAGCCTGAGTCTGCTGAGCCAAGCTCACTGACACCTTTCTGGGGGTTGAAGTGCTATGTATTACATCAAAGAATATTAGTTTACACAGCTTGTTGTACTGCATTGTTGGCAAAATACAGCAAGGTGAGCCAGGAGAGAGAGCAACAAGAGACAACCAGGAGAGAAAGTGAGGAGAGACAGCCAGGAGAGAAAGTGAGGAGAGAGAGCCAGGAGAGAAGATGAGGAATGACAGCCAGGAGAGAAAATGAGGAATGACAGCCAAGAGAGAAAATGAGGAATGACAGCCAAGAAAGTGAAGAGAGACAGCCAAGAAAGTGAAGAGAGACAGCCAGGAGAGAAAATGAATGACAGCCAAGAGAGAAAATGAGGAATGACAGCCAAGAAAGTGAAGAGAGACAGCCAGGAGATAAAATGAGGAATGACAGCCAAGAAAGTGAAGAGAGAGCCAGGAGATAAAATGAGGAATGACAGCCAGGAGAGAGAGGAGGGACAGCCAGGAGAGAGAGAGGAGGGACAGCCGGGAGAGAAAATGAGGAATGACAGCCAGGAGAGAGAGAGAGGAGGGACAGCCAGGAGAGAGAATGAAGAATGACAGCCAGGAGAGCGCGAGGGAGGTTTTTTTTCCCCCCCATTGGTAGATCTCCTGTAGCTCGTCATTTGAAAAGTAGATCTTATCACAAAAAAGTGTGGGCACCCCTGCCCTATAATGTGCATTGAGAAAAAAACTATTGGACAACACACCAATGAATGTGAACTAATACCATTTAAAAGTGATGTCTAAGCTGTGTACACGGCAATGCATTGAT